ATTGTTCTACTTTTGCAGTCCCTTAGTTTGGCTAATGGCAGCAATGACACCAAAGTGAGTCTGGACTCAGCCCCAGAGGGTTTCTCCCAACAGTTTAGTAAATCCTTCCCATAATTGGACATTTGAAGAGAGACTTTTGAATTTCTGGTCTCTTCAATCCCAACTTCAGTTTCAGAAAGGTAGGATTGTGTCATAGGAAAATCTGGTTTCTTCCTTTGCAGACACTGGTGTAAAGGATTTGCCTGGCAGCTCTGCCATGGCCTGTTCTGTGCGTTCTCCCTTAACACTTTGATCATCAGCGGGCAATTGACTCTCTGCCTCTCTGAGAGATACCTTCTTATTTATAATATCTTTCACTTACCACGTCCATTTTCTCTTTTATTGTCAAGCAGGGTTTGATTTAGAAAACATTAGAGATTCTTTCTCTCTAAAACAGACATTCTTTCTCTCTGGCAATTTTCAGCAGGGTGCCAATGAGGTAGGTTGGTTGTGAAGAGCAACAACATTGTTTGGAAGAGAAGGTGCTTCCAAGCACATTTGAAGCACTCTTTTGACAAACTGACAAAATTATAGGCTGTTAAGGCTACAAGGCTGTGCATATATACAGAAGTGTCAAATGTCTCTCCTCTGGGGCCTGCTGACAAGGAGCAGAAGTGTGGACAAAGAGCCTCAGGTTCAAAGGTTGTTCCAGGCTGGAAAGTTAGCTGGTAAACCGTTTACCCATCACTGTTTCCAAATCAAATCATAATTCCTTCTTTTTGTTGCCCTCTTAAATAAAAAAAAAAAAAAGGAAAAAAGGAAAAAGAAAAAAAATCAAACCAAACCAAACAAAAAACCCAAAACCAAACCCCTCCCAAAATCCCAAACACAAACAAGCAAAAAAAAAAAAAAGGGAAAAAAAGTATGGCTACAAACTGTTGTTGATTGACCAAATTTCTAACAAGAAATAAATTGAAAAATATTATACAAACCAGTTCACAAGGAATGTATTTAACTTGAATAAAATTGGAGATTATACATGTTACATCATCAAATCTAAAATGTATTACTCTGTAGTTCAAACACAGCCAAGCAAATTTGAAAATTTGAGTCTAATTGGTCTCCTCCTATTCTTCCTCTAAATATTCTCAAATATTTTATATGAAAGTGCAGCTTTTTTATTAGCAGTAGGTAGGGAAAAAAAGACTGTTGTATAGCTGAGATTCAGTGCTCATTCAGTGCATTTTTAGTTTTGGATTTTTTGTTTTGCTTTAATGACATATGGGAAAACAGTAGGGAAGTATTTAATATGGCTAACATTTCTTTCACAATCATATAATCATAGAATCTTGAGTTGGAAAGGATGTTAAAGATCATCTAGTTCCAATTCCTCTGCCATGGGAGTGTCATATGCAATTTTACTGCTGATCAAGTTCTAATGGTTTGATTATATAATTACTTAGCAGTTTTGAAACCTGTTTCCATGTCCAAAAGTCTGACTGAATTTACATATGAAGCTTTGTAGAACTGCCTTTGAAAATCTTGGCTCTTGCAGCTTTAAAACTCAAGTGGAAATTGTTTTAGAGCTCTTGCAAGATGCATAGTTCTTCAATTTTTGCTAGAACATTGTCTTTTTTAACACTTGACAATTAAGGTTCCTTTATTTGCTGAACTGTTAAATTAAAATGGATGCATTCATATATTTAAAAAACCCTTACAGAATCATTGCACTTTTGTCAAGGAAATTGTAGTTTGATAGAGTTGCCTTTTTTGGAATTAGTGACTGTGCATCACTATTATCTCTCTTTAACAGAGGTAAACTTTGATTAAGTTGAAGGAGCTTTGGTAGCACTTGCATTTTTCAGAGAGATACTCACTCCTATTTGGCTCAAGAAAATGAGTAAGTTTGTTGTTTGTCCATCTAGGTAAAGAGTTAGTGGTAAGGTCTATTAATCTCTGATGAACATGATACAGATTCAGAGACCTTTCTGTCTGTGATCACAAAAGCTGGTGATGTGATGCAGAAGGAATGCGTACACTTACTGACTTTTTTTTTCAGACTTAGTCTCTACAAAATCCAGTAGCAAAATTGATGCAGTTGGTTGATTGGTTGACTTTTTTTAAATCCTGAAATAAAAATGCAAAAAATTAATTTGTGGGAGGCATCTCCTCCAAACTAGTTTTGTTCAGCTTTCCTTAATGCACTGCTTTTTTTTGTTCTAACGTGAAGAAAAGCCAGTGGTAGGCTTTCAGATGAATTAAAAATAAAGCTATTGTTCTTATTTAACATCTGATTTATTTGTAAACAGCTAAATATGCTTACATTTGCCATCCTTTCTCTGTTAAGTAAAATCGTCATCACATCCTTGTTTTACTTAGCAAGGCAGACCTGGACTAAGTAAAAGCAAACACACAAAAACTCTGATCTTCCAGTAATCTATATGATGGAGACTTAATGCTGAAATTCCCTACTTATATTTACTAACCTTTAATGGATTATTTTGTCTCTCACATTTGGCCTACAGATTTCTAAATATACCACCTTCTGATTTAATCACATTGTCATTCTTTCTCCATCGTGTGAAAGAGAACCTCTTCCTGTCTGTCTTGAACCTTGCTGGGGTATTTTCATTTGAAACCTTCCTGTGTTAGAAGAGGAGTTTTAGCGTTTTGTACCTTATTCATCCTATTGCTATTCCTGATTTTCTAGTCTTGTATCTGGCTTGCAGGCTGACCAGATATAGTCAATATAGATATTTTTTACACCAAAGTTGTTTCACATTTCAAATAATCTTACTTGTTTTTCTCCTATCCCTTCTTAATTTATTTTTAAATCTCTTTTTAATTTGGGAAGAACAGAACTGCATGCAGTGTTCACTGTAGTGTGCCTCACAATAATAAACTCTGTGATTTATGAAGTTGTTCTGTCCTCCCTTCCTTTCCTAGTAATTTCTAGCCTTCTGTTTACTTTCTAAACTTATCTGATGTTTTTATAGTATTTTTCTAACCTCAACTTCTTGTTTATGAATTATGTCAGCCTATCTATTTATGAGTATGTTGAACAGCATAGAAAGAAAATTTCTAGATGAGAAGCTATAAAATTTGGAATGTGAGAAAGTTAACAAATGCTTTAATTTCTGTGAACCATGTGGGCTTGTTCATGTGATTATATACACGTTTCACAGGGCAGTTTAATTCAAAGCCTTTAAATTGATACAAAAAAACCAACAAATACAACATATAACAAAAATATCTGTTACAGATAGACCATGCCTGCTATTGAGTATTGCAAGGAAGTTACCAGTGAGAGTATCTCTATGATGACTATTTGCCAGAATAAGTATTGTTTTTCTGAATAGCAAGAATCTCCCTGCCTCTCCTTAACAGGAACTGTTCAGTGGTAGGAAAGATTGGTATTGCTGAATAAAAAATGGGAACAGCAATGTGCTTGAGAGTTTTGGCTTAGAATTAGTTTAGTGACTGGGACAGTGTAGATAGGTTAAGTAATAGGAGTGATGAGAGATTTACTGAACTCCCTTTATCTGAATAGATTAATGGAATAGAATCACAAAGCCCACTAGATTTTGAATGAATTAAACATAAAATGCCTAATCTCCAAATACTAATTCAGTGTTGAATTTATAATTCAAGAAAGAGGAAAAGAGATTGAAAGATTCTCCCTGTTACTTTGAGGCTGAGAAGAACAATATTTATATGAAAGATGTGAGATGAAAATGCTGCCAACAAAGACTGGGATTCTAAAGGTTTGAAATTTTGTGGTGTTAAGAGAGCTGAGCAAATGTTGTGTTTCCCTTTCCCCAACCTTTAGAAAGACCTGTACTGATTGCTTGCAAGTATTTTTGGTTTGTTTTGTTTTGTTTCAAATGTTTTCCCTATTTCTTGAATGGTTTACATCTTCATTCTCTGTAGATACTTCTTTTGCATTTCAAGCTGGGAATAGTGCTGCTTTTACCTATTGCATGAGAAGTCCAGCATAAGCAGCATCATAAACTGCCTTCTCATATCTCAATTCCTTGTGTGCTTTTCTTATTACTTGGTTGTCCTCCCTTGCCTCCACTTGATGATGGATTTAAGTTTTTGACTTAGTCTCAAAATGCCTGATACTCCTCCACTTAGATCCAGACTTAACCTTCCCTTTATGGTTGGAGTCCATGTGGGCTTTATCATTGTATTTTTCTTGTAACTTTTCCACAAAGGGAAATTTTGTTCCACTGCAAAGGTCTTATGTTGTTTGAATTGGTATGGCTGACTTGATAATATCCTAAGTTCAGGGTCATACAGTGCAAAGCACATTGCAGAAATGTGCAGTAATGACAATAATGGTTTCTGTTGTGGTTTATTTCAGCCTTTTGACAGTAGGTCTCCCACATTAGAATCTGAGGTCGTAATTATCTCTCCTTTTTGTGCTTATGTTTATCTACTTAAATGGCATTCTTTATTGCTGTATAAACTCATCTTATAATGGGAACTTTCTTGAGTATTTTTTATATAATTATGAAGATCACAGGCTCCATAATAGGATGATGTTTAATTAAAATAATTGGTGACTTTAAGCAAAATATTCTAGATAATTTTTGAGAGCTACTTCTGTGATCCGTCTGACCCGCCAACATCATTAATTTATCATTGCTAATTTATAGACTAATGGTCTGCTAGAGGTTGGGACATACTTTGAAGTTTTGGGCAATAAAGAAATATTTATTTGTTCCCAATAACTGACTTTCCTTTTGCTGGGTTAAGGCAGTGGTACAGTATCACTAGTCTGGATTTCTGTGTGAGCCCAACTGATCTGAATTTTAGGAAGGGGTGCACTGTTCCTGACACTATACTTTAAAAAATAGCTTTTCTGTCCAACTACGGGTGTCAGGCTCCTGAAGAAGTCTTAATCAAGACTCAGTGCTGCCTATGTCTACCAAAAGCATCTGCTGTTGATTGAAGCCAAGTGTATGTAATACTGAAGTTCAAGGGAAGGGGTTGATGATATTCTTGTGTGTCTCTAGGAATCCGGAAAGACCGCAGAGGTGGGCGAGTGATGAAACAAAAACGCCAAAGAGAGGAGCAGGATTCCAGGAATGGGGAGGCTTCTTCAACAGAGCTGCGAGCTCCCACCCTTTGGACAAGTCCGCTGGTGGTTAAACATAACAAGAAGAACAGCCCAGCCCTGTCCCTGACGGCAGAACAGATGGTCAGTGCCTTGCTGGAAGCTGAGCCACCCCTGGTTTATTCTGAATATGACCCAAACAGACCGTTCAATGAAGCCTCTATGATGACCCTGTTGACCAACCTTGCAGACAGAGAATTGGTGCACATGATCAACTGGGCAAAGAGAGTTCCAGGTAAGGAAAAAAGCCCATGTAAACTTTAAAACCTGTAGATTAAAAAAAAAAAAAAAAAACCTAAACAAAAACCCACATACTGATTTTCTGACTAACTATTCTCATTTAATTCAAATTGTTCATTTAAGTATAAATACATAAACAAAATTTACAACATTGAACAAAGTTTGTGTTATATTGGTCAATAAAATGTTATTGTGCAATGTAAGTGGTTTTTGAGGAAAGATTTATTCAAGAAAAGGTATCCTCCCCACTCTATAGGATGCTGGGCAGTTTTTTGTTTGCAAATCTTTCTTTTTTTCCATACAAAACTCAACAGAATTAAGGTTAAAAGAGATTATTGGTCAAATTCAGTCAATTTGACCTAATAAAATTATGTTAAATATTTTGATCTCCTTAGAAAAGGGTTACTCTCACATATGTAATGTAAGCCATAAGTTCAGTATCACTACTAAGCCTGTAAGTACTACTAAGATTTATTTAGTTGCTGGGTTATAGTTTTGACTGTGAATTACAGATCTTTCATGAATTTTGGGTCTGAAAAACAAATCCAGAATAAAAGTTTTAGTATGAAATTATTTTTGATGCACTGTGATTCCCTCTTTTCCCAAAGGGAATTAGAGGATTGTAGGAAGTATGTAACATTTTTATTTGAGTGTATGTTATATATTCATTCATGTAGTTCAGTTAATCAATATAAATGAAATGAGAGAGTAGTTTTGTTGTTAAAGTTCCTCACTTTTCACAGTTTCAATGTACACAAATACTCTTCATAAGATTTAAAAATTTGTAAGACATTTATTGCACATGTCATAGATTTATCTTGGGAAAAATACTGGCATACATGGTAATTTATACTTAATAATTCATTGGAGTTCTGATCTTTTAAGTTTTTTACCGTAGCCATTTATTTAATAAAATTATGTAGATGCTTTAGAAAGGTATGCTAGAGACGACTAACACTCAGCTCTCACTCACATAGTGCATTAACTCAAAAGAATTACACCCAGGTTATTCCATTTTTCTGTTTTCCTTCATTTAAGCTTGGCAAGACTGTTCCTGGTGAATCAATAACCATGTCTTTTCCAGTCCTTAAGGGTTCCCTTTCAGCCACTTTTCACATGTCACTTTGTGGGCTCCAGCTATGATCAATGAGAACCTGTGTGTGTTTCATTCCTCATCGTATCTTATAAGAAATCACTTGAGAATTTTATTCTTGACAAAGTCACGGTGGTTGAAGCCTGATCTACAGTCTGTTCAAGTCAAGGGCAGTTCTCCTGTTAATTTAGGTACGTTTTGTATCATGCCATTACAAAAATGCATTTGAAAAATGAACCTATGTACATAGTATTAAAGCTATTCACTATCAAAACAGATAAATTAAAATTACCTTTCTATGGATTTTTAGAGATATAATTACTCTGAGTCTGTTAAAACAAATTAATTTAAATACAAGATACCACAATCTAAATTCATTGTGTTGTCCAACTGGAAACATTTGGTTTCCGTGACTTTTGATTTTGAGAGTATTAATGGAAATGTGTTTAGAAATTAAGTAACATTGTCAGAGGACCAAGATCTGCTTTTTATTCAGAAATATCTATAGAACTGCCTGTTACAAGATGATTAAAACTGGATAAAAAAATTACCTGGTTTGCCAAATATAAACTTCAAATTTTAAGAAAGCATCTGACACCAGAAAATCAAATGTGTAAGGATATCAACATTTTGTGTATAGCCAATGTATTTTACATTTAAATTTACATTAACTCTCAGAATTGCTCCTAAGGAGAAACCAAGCCCAATGGCTTGATCATGATATCCATTAATAAGTACTCTAGCAGGTGAAGTTTTCTACAGAACTGCTGAACTTTGGCTAGAATTAAATAACAAAAATCCCTTTCCCTTCATAGTTTGATCTATTAGGCACTATACAAAGAATTATACCAAAGGAAAACAATAATTATACCTAAAGCAGGACTGAGAGAAAAAAAGAGTTTGGGGGTTCTGAAAGTGCTGGACACCTAGCTGGTTCTGGATGTTGTGGCCTGGAGAATAGTATGCATGAACAAAAGCAGAAATTAAAGTGCTTTAGAAAGTTGATTTAAAAGAATTCAGGTCCAATTGTTTACCCACCTCTACAACTGGGGTCGCTGCGAATAAGAAATTTAGACCTATGTGCTTAAATATATATATTTTTAATCTCTTGTTCTCTAGGAAAGGTTGTGTGCACATAGTTGCTGATATTAAATTTTAGAAGCACTGATCACCTTTCAAAGATTGGGTCTTTGCTTGCCGAAGTTTTCTTCTGCTGGAACATACTGGGAATATTTATAATTTAATGGAAATGTGTCTGACAATTTAAATTGCATTTTCACCCCCACAGCATGTTGCCATTGACTACTCCATTATTACTAGGATTTAAACGATGCAGCTGAATTAGAGAGGATTTTTGTATGTGTTATTCATGAACTGGCGAACTGAATAACTTTTTAAAGTATTTGGTGTAACAGCATTGTGGAAATCCACTCAATTATTTTTTCAGCTAATTTACTAGGGTTTCGAGCTTCAGGATCAAGGGTAGGAATATCCCTTTTTCCTAAAAAGTGAGCGTCCTTTTTAGAAATAGAAAAAAATCAGTTGCAGAAAATGGCTTCCCCTACGCACACTTCTCAAGCCTTGGAAACATTGGGCAAGTTCATTTACCTACATGCAGGATGTAGGCAAGCAAGGAGTAAAGTCTATATGAGTGGCTGAATTGAAATCATATTTCACAGTGATCACAGAATCACAGGATATGTCGTGTTGGAAAGGACCCACAAGGACCACTGGGTCCAAGTCCTGGCCCTGCTAAGCACCATCCCTAAGTGATAATCCCATATTTCTGAGAGCACTGTCCAAATGCTTGCTGAACTCTGTCAGGCTGGTGCTGTGACCACTTCCCTGAGGAGCCTGTTCCACTGCCCAACCACCCTCTGGGTGAAGAACCTTTTTCTAATACCAACCTAAACCTCCCTGACATAATTTCAGGCCATTTGCTTGGGCCCTGTCACCACAGAGAGAGAGATCAGTATTTGCCCCTCCTCTGGCCTCATGAAGAAGTTGCAGACTGCAGTGAGGTCTCCCCTCAGTCTCCTTTTCTCAGGCTGAACAGACCAAGTGACCTCAGCTGCTCCTCATGCAGCTTCCCCTCCTGGCCCTACAGAAATGCTGTTATGTCAAAGGAATTAACTTATTGTATTTCATTATTCACTTACTGTGTATTTAGTTTAATGTCTTATGTGGAGAACTGTATTTTCTAAATGAAGCTGGCATTTTCAATGTAATCAACCAAACATTTTTGGTGCAGAATCTCCTGAGATGGTGAGACACATTATGAGCTTATGCAGTGAGCTCCTGGTAAAGAGTGTAGCTTTAAGGAAATTTTTTTGCAAGGGTGAAATCTTTGGCAATGTTGCTACAATCTTGTATAACTATTTACTACAAGTACAGTAGCTGTACAACTTAATAGCCCTAAAATGGTACACTGGGCATACAGGCTTTGAAGTTTTGAGATGATTCACAGTGCTGTACTTATTTTATGGCTTCATGAACCGAGGAGATAAACATTTTGGCACTGTTTTTTGGTTTTTTTTTTTTTCTTCTTTATTTCAAAGCCACAGAGGTTGCTCTTTTCTTAAGATATTGTTTTCCTGTTTGACCTTCTAAACTGCTCTGTTAAATCAGGAACAGTGTGTAAAAAGGCCAATAGCCACAATTTTACACTGCACTTTAGTGGCACCAAACCTTAAAAAAAAATGAGTTAGCTTGCAGTGGAAGGAAAGATGTCTTGGATGAGAGTGGGATGTGTTTGTAACCCTTTAGATGTAGGAATCTTTATAGAGCTCCTAAATGTAGCGATCCTCCTGCCAATAATTTACGTTTATTTAAAAAAATTAATGGCTTGCAATTCCTGTAATAATTTTTAATAACCCTTTCAAAACATCTATTTTACAGTCTCTTCTCCTTTGCCTAACAGGCTTGCTGTGGAGATTTCTAAAAAGTCATTTAAAACCCCACCTCTTTGCTTATCTCTTTATTCTGTTGAAGTGATACTGTCTGCTCCCCCACTTCTTAGATGAAAAAACAGAGGAAGAAAATCTGTAAGCAAAAGAGATATGAAAATAGGCATCTGGATCTTACTTTATGGCTGCTTTTGCTAATTTAGTTTCTGTGAAATGTCAATTTATTACTCTGAAATTGTAAGTATCAAACACTGTAGTGGAATAAAGTAAACACTATTTGAATTTGAACATCAGATTGAGACATATTATTCGACAGAATGATTATGAAGAGCAGCAGAATTAAAATCATTGAGTATAAAATTAAAGCTTTCCATCCCTGTGTTTTTTCAGTCTGGTAAGCATCTTCAGTTTTTCTTGTCTATATTTGTGAAACCAAAAAAGCTTTCCTTTCTGTCCTTCTCCTCCTCCAGCTCCTGGGTGCTGCATGAGAAAACTCCTCACTTATGAGTTCCTGTTTTAGTTATCTCTAGAACTGTCTTGTAGTGCTTTTAAAAAAGATTGGGTCTATTTCCTCCTGTACAGAACTTCTAATTAGAGACAAGGACAAGACAATGTGCCACAATGGCCTGCTGTTGAGAGATGGGGTGGAGATGCTGATTCTAGAGGACAGGGAGATGTTATATGCACCTATATGTTATATGCTTGTGTCAGACAGGAAAAAGCCAAAGCTGAGAAGGAATAATTCAGCAGAAGTGCTTGTAAGGGAACATAAACAATACAAAACAAAACAAAAATACAGGCAGTGGTTTCACTAGCTGAAGGCTCTAACAAAATTATAGCAGAAGGAAAAAAGAATCAATGTCTGAATTGCAACTTTGATGCTGGAAATTTAAGAGGTATCCTAATGCAATGGCCTTCAAACTCTAGGGAGTCCCTAGGGTTAGGGATATAGAAGGGGAGAGAAATGCATCAGGACAAGCTGACCACCAACAAGGA